TTCCCCAGGCTGGAGTGTGGAAGCGCAATCTTGGTTCACTGCAAGCTCCGCCTCCCGGGTTCAAGTGATTATCCTGCCTCAGCCTTCCGAGTTGCTGGGATTACAGGCACCTGTCACCACACCCAGCTAATTTTTTTTTTTTTTTTTTTTTTTAGTAGAGACGGGGTTTCACCATGTTGGCCAGGGTGGTTTTGAACTCCCGACTTCAGGTGAGAACAAGAGTCTCTGCCTGGTAATCCAGATAATTCTTCTGGATCCTTTATCCAGCAGTACCTCTATGAGTTTGCAAGAACCACAGCATTCATGGGCTTGGGGTGCCCCCTAATGCAGACATGGCTGAGATCACAACATCCAAGTACCTTTGAAGCCTCCCCAAGAAGGACAGGTACAGAGAAGCCTTGTCTGCAGACTACAGTAAACACCGAACATGCCCAGGTGCAGTGGCTCATGTCTGTAATGTGTCAGCACTTTGGGAGGCTGAGTCGGGAGAATCATCTGAGGTTAGGAGTAGGAAACCAGCCTAACCAACATGATGAAACCCCGTCTCTACCAAAAATACAAAAATTAGCCAGGCATGGTGGCAGGTGCCTGTAGTCCCAGCTACTGGGGAGGATGAGGCAGGAGAATCGCTTGCACCTGGGAGGCAGAAGGTGCAGTGAGCTGTGATTGTGCCATTCCACTCCAGCTGGGCAACAAAAGCAAAACTCCATCTCACTAAATTAATTAAATAAATAAATAGCTAACTCATCAGTGCCCAGCCACCAATGAACATCTATAAGCATCAAGACCATCCAGGAATAAATGACCTTACCAAACGAACCAAATAAACCACTAAGGACCAATCCTTGAGAAACAGAGATATGTGACCTTTCGACAGAGAATTTAAAATAGCTGGCCGGATGCAGTAGCTCACGCCTGTAATCCCAGCACTTTGGGAGGCTGAGGCAGGTGGATCACAAGGTCAGGAGTTCAAGACCAGCCAGGCCAAGATGGTGAAACCTCATCTCTACTAAAAACACAAAAATGAGCCAGGCGAGGTGGCAGATGCCTGTAATCCCAGCTACTCGGGAGTCTGAGGCAGGAGAATCACTTGAATTCGGGGTGTGGAGGTTGCAGTGAGCCAAGATCATGCCACTGCACTCCAACCTGGGTGACAGAGTGAGACTCCATCTCAAAAAAATAAATAAATAAAAATAATAAAATGGCCATTTTGAGGAAACTCAAATAAATTCAAGATAACACAGAGAAGGAATTCAGATTCCATCAAATAAATTTAACAAAGAGATTAAAATAATTAAAAAGAATCAAGCAGAAATTCTAGAGTTGAAAAATGTGGCCAGATGTGGTGGCTCATGCCTGTTGGGATGAGCCACCTTGGGAGGCCGAGGCGGATGGATCACATGAGGTCAGGAGTTCGAGGCCAGCCTGGCCAAAATGGTGAAACCCCATGTCTACTATAAATACAAAAGTTAGCTGAGCGTGGTGGCACAAGTCTATAATCTCAGCTACTTGGGAGGCTGAGGCAAGAGAATCCCTTGAACCCAGGAGGTGGAAGTTGCAGTCAGACTCAGTCAGCTGAGATTGCACCACTGCACTCCAGCCTGGGTGACAGAGTGAGACTCTGTCTCAAAAAAAAAAAAAAGAAGGAAGGGAGGGAGGGAGGGAAAAATGTAATTGGCATCCTGAAGACTTCATCAAAGCCTTTTCAATAGCAGAATGAATCAAGCAGAAGCAAGACTCAATGAGCCTGAAGACAGACAAGACACACAGTCAGAGGAAACAGAGAGAAGAATAGGCCAGGTTCAGCGACTGGCGCCTGTAATACCAGCACTTTGGGAGGCCAAGGCGGTGGGACCGCTTGAGGCTAGGAGTTTGAGATTAGCCTGGACAACATGGGGACACCCTGTCTCTACTAAAATCCAAGAAAATAGTCAGATGTGGTGGTGCACACCTGTAATCCCAGCTACTTGGGAGGCTGAGGCACTAGAATTGCTTGAACCCAGGAGGTGGAGGTTGCTGTAAGCTGAGATCATGCCACTGCACTCCAGCCTGGGTAACAGAGCAAGACTCTGGCTCCAAAAAATTTTTTTTAATTAAAATAAAAAACAATGAAGCCTGGCCTACAAGAGCTAGAAAATAGCCTTTAAAAAAGCAAAAATCTGAGCGTTATTGGCCTTAAAGAGGAGGTAGAGATTGTACAAAATTCCTACAAACGGCAAGAGAAAAGAAACAACATACAACGGACCTCCAGTACATCTGGCAGCAGACATTTCCGCGGAGACCTCACAGGTAGGAGAGGACGGCAGGACATATTTAAGGTGCTGAAGGAATAAACCTTTTACCCCAGAAGAGCATATCCAGCAAAAATATCCCTTAAGTAGGAAGGAAAAATAAAGACTTTCCCATAAAAACGAAGCTGAGGAATTCAATCAACGCCAGACCTATCCTGCAAGAAATGCTAAAGGCAGCACTTGCATCAGAAGGAAACGCACGTTAATGGGTGAGAAAACGTTATCTGAAGGTGCAGAACTCACTGACAGCACACAGAAAAACATGGGAACAGTGTCAACGTGGTGTGTGAACGAATCTCAGTAGAAAAACTAAAGGATGAACCAATCAAAAATAACTACAACTGTTTAAGACACAGATAGTACAATAGATATAAATACAAACAGCTAAAAGTTCAAAAAGTTCAAAATGAAAAGACAAAATTAAGGTGTAGACTTTTTAATAAATTCCTCCTCCTCCTCCCTTCCTTCCCTCCCTCCTTCCTTCCTTCCTTCCTTCCCTCCCTCCTTCCTTCCTTCTTTCCTTCCTTCCTTCCCTCCTTCCTTCCTTCTTTCCTTCCCTCCCTCCTTCCTTCCTTCCTTCCTTCCCTCCCTCCTTCCTTCCTTCTTCCTTCCTTCCTTCACTCCTTCCTTCCCTCCTTCCTTCCCTCCCTCCTTCCTTCCTTCTTTCCTTCCTTCCCTCCTTCCTTCCTTCCCTCCTCCTGCCTTCCTTCCCTCCTTCCTTCCCTCCCTCCTTCCTTCCTTCCCTCCTTCCTTCCCTCCTTCTTCCCTCCCTCCTTCCTTCCCTCCTTCCTTCCCTCCTTCCTTCCTTCCTTCCTTCCTTCCCTCCTTCCTTCCTTCCCTCCTTCTTTCCCTCCCTCCTTCCTTCCTTCTTTCCTTCCTTCCCTCCTTCTTTCCTTCCTTCCCTCCTTCCTTCCTTCCTTCCCTCCTTCCTTCCTTCCTCCTTCTTCCCTCCCTCCTTCCTTCCTTCTTTCCTTCCTTCCCTCCTTCCTTCCCTCCTCCCTTCCTTCCTTCCTTCCTTCCCTCCTTCCTTCCCTCCCTCCTTCCTTCCTTTCTTCCCTCACTCCTTCCTTCCCTCCTTCCTTCCCTCCCTCCTTCCTTCCTTCCTTCCTTCCTTCCTTCCTTCCCTCCTTCCTTCCCTCCCTCCTTCCTTCCTTCCTTCTTTCCTTCTTCCCTCCTTCCTTCCTTCCTTCCTCCTTCCTTCCTTCCCTCCCTCCTTCCTTCCTTCTTCCTTCCTTCCCTCCCTCCTTCCTTCCTTCCTCCCTCCTTCCTTCCTTCCCTCCCTCCCTCCTTCCTTCCCTCCCTCCTTCCTTCCTTCTTCTTTCTCTTTATCTCTCTCTCTCTCTCTCTCTCTGTTGTTGCTGTTGAGAGAGAGTCTTGCTCTGTTGCCCAGGCTGCAGTGCAGTGGCACAGCCTCGGCTCACTGCAGCCTCCACCTCTCGGGTTCAAGTGGCACCATCTCAGCTTACTGCAAGCTCTGCCTCCCGGGTTCAAGCGATTCTCTTGCCTCAACCTCCTGCCTCAGGCTCTCCAGGAGTTAGTTAGGATTACAGGTGTGTAAACTTCTGGCTAATTTTTGTATTTTCAGTAGACACAGGGTTTCACCGTGTTGGCCAGGCTGGTCTGGAATTCCTGACCTCAGGTGATCCGCCCGCCTCAGCTTCCCCAAGTGTTGGGATTACAAGTGTGAGCCACCACGCCCAGATTTAGTAATTTTCTTATTGCTCATTTGTTGATTTCTTTATGCAAACAGTGTTGTTTATCAGCTTAAAACAATGAGTTATAAGGTAGTATCTGCAAGCCTTCAAATCAAAAAACCTAATGGATACAAAACAGAAAATAAAAAGCAAGAAATTAAACCACACCACCAGGGAAAATCACCTTCACTAAAGAGAAGACAGGGAGGAAGGAGAGAAGAGAGAGAATAACGCAAACCAACCAAAAACGTAGCAAAACGGAAGGAGGAGTCCTTGTCAAGAATAACACCAAATATAAATGAACTGAACTCTCCAATAAAACAATACAGAGTGGTTAGGCTGGGCGAGGTGGCTAATCCCAGCACTCTGGGAGGCTGAGGCAGGTGGATTTCCTGACTGGGAGGCCGAGGTGGGGGAACTGCCTAAGCCCAGGAGTTCAGGACCAGCCCGGGCAACATGGTAAAACACTGTCTCTATAAAAAATACAAAAAAATTACCAGGGCAGGGTGGTGCGAGCCTGCTACTTGTGGGGCTAAGGTGGGGTTGAGGCTGCAGTTGCAGTGAGCCGGGATGACAACACTGCACCCAGCTTGGGTGACGGGGAGACCCTTTCTCCAAAATACAGATATTGATATAGATACATAGCTAGACAGGTACAGATGACATAGATACAGACAGTGGCTGAAGGGGTAAGAAGCCAAGACCCAAGGATGTCTACAAGAAACATACAGATGAAACAGTAAGAGTCTGGGTCCTGAAATGCTGGCAGTCCCACGTCGTATGGGAGGGCAGGTGTCTAATCATTTCCTTTCTCCCTTACCCCAGGCCCTTCACAGGTACCTGCTGATCTCTCCCACTAGGCCAAAGAAACACTTGTGGTTAATAAGTCTCAGAAGAGTTATGTGAAAGTTAAAAGTAAAACTGACAGCAACTAAAAGATGGAGGGCGGGAGGTGGCCACAGTGGAGGAGACCCCACCGCACTGCCACCCAAGCAGGGAGTCAGGAGCTCCAGGAGCGCAGGATGCTACTTGTGCCGACCCTCCAAAAATACTCACACAAATCTTCCAAAACATCCTTGTCCCACTGCGTCACCTGCTGACAGATTTCATGTCCTGGTCTTCCAAACCTGGAGGTGGGGCATGAACAGGGCGGAGTCGCAGGGGAAAGAAAAGGAGGCCCCAGGACACCTGGGCTCACTCCCAGGTCCCCAGCAATGTCTCCACCACCGCTGCTGCTACCCCTGCTGCTGCTGCCGCCTCTGCTGAACGTGGAGCCTGCTGGGGCCACCCTGATCCGGTATGGTGACCCCATCTACCACCCCCAAACCTGGGAGGGATTCTCTGCCCTTTGTCCTTTAGGTCTAGGACCCTGAGTTCAGTGATTCCCAGACTTGGCACCCAGGATCCCTCGCGTTTCTTTCTTAGCTTCCCAGATCTGTAAACCAGGCTGTTGCCCCTAAGGGCTCCACTCTGACATCTCTTGAGACCAGAGTCCTTTTTGAGACAGAGTCTCTCTGGAGTGCAGTGGCACCATCTCAGCTCACTGCCAGCTCTGCCTCCTGGGTTCAAGTAATTCTCTTGCCTCAACCTCCCAAATAGCTGGGATTACAGGCTCATGCCACCACGCCCAGCTAATTTTTGTGTTTTTAGTAGAGATGGGGTTTCATCATGTTGGCCAGGCCAGTCTTGAACTCCTGACCTTGTGATCCACCCACCTTGGCCTTCCAAAATGCTGGGATTACATGTGAGCCACTGTGACTGGCCAACCAGAACCCTTTTATTATTGTTATTATTTGAGACGGAGTCTCATTCTGTCACCAGGGTGGAGTGCAGTGGCATGATCTTGGCTCACTACAACCTCTGCTTCCTGGGTTCAAGTGATTCTCCTGCCTCAGCCTCCTCAGTAGCTTCGACTACAGGTGTGTGCCACCACACCCAGCTAATTTTTGTATTTTTATTAGAGACAAGGTACTGCCATGCTGGTCAGGCTGGTCTCGAACCCCTGACCTTATGATCCATCCGCCTCAGCCTCCCAAAGGGCTGAGATTACAGGCGCGAGCCACCGCACTTATCCAGGTTTTTGCGAGGTCTCTGCAGACCCCACTAAAGCTGTCATGACTAGGTACTGTGGTTTCCAGACATGTGGCACACTCCCTCCATGTTAGAGACCTGGATATGTGACATTTAAACCGAGACTCTCCACATTCACACCCATTAAACTGTTTGGTCTGAAGAATCATGTTTTGGGGCCAGAGCAGTGGCTCACACCGGTAACCCAGCACTTTTAAGGCCAAGTTGGGAAGATCACTTGAGTCCAAGAGTCTGAAGACCAGTCTGGGCAACGTGGCCAGACCCCCATCTCCACAAAAAATACAAAAATTAGCTCAGTGTGATGGTGCATGCCTATGGTCCCAGCTACTCCGGAGGCTGAGGGAGGGGGATTGCTTGAGCCCAGGAGTTTGAGGGGCAGTGAGCTATATAATTCTGCTACTGCACTCCAGGCTGGGCAACAGGGTGACACCTTGTCTAAAACAACAACAACAAAAAGCTGGGCTTAGTGGCTCACACCTGGAATCCCAACACTTCGGGAGGCCAAGGTGGGCAGATCACCTGAGGTTGTGAGTTTGAGACTAGCCTCACCAATAGGGTGAAACCCTGTCTCTACTAAAAATACCAAAATTAGCTGGGTATGGTGGCAGGTGCCTGTAATCCCAGCTACTGGAGGCTGAGGCAGGAGAATCACTTGAACCCAGGAGGCGAAGGCTGCAGTGAGCCAAGATCACACCACTGCACTCCAGCCTGGGCAGCAAGCTAAACTCCATCTCAAAAAAACATGGTGGTGTGCCTATAGTCCGCTACTCCAGAGGCTGAGGTGGGAGCATCACTTTTGAGCCCTGGAGATCAAGGCTACAGTGAGCCCTGATTGCACCACTGCACTCCAGTCTGAGTGACAGAGGGAGACCCCATTTCAAATAAAAAGCTTATAAAAAGAAAAAGAAATCCAATTTTGGAGACCTCATGCAAGAAGTCCTCCCACTACCTGACCTCTGATGCTGCCCCCAATCTCTCCCTTTTGAAAACTCCCTTCTCATGCCCTGGAACTCTTGGTGGGGGAGGGGTGTACACTTCAGGAAGTTTTCCCCACTTCACATTCTTGTGCCTCTCAAAGACTGACTCGTGGCGGGTGGGGGGGAAGGTGTGAGGGAGGGGACAACTGCTTCAAGGAGTGACTAAAAGCAGGAAGAAAGATATTACTGCACGTGATGCTTGTTAACCTGCTTTTTGAACCTCATGTATCATGGCCATTTTCTAAGTCAATGCAAAGAAAAGTGAGTCTCCAAATGTATCAACAGTATCATCGTGACCTGCGAACTTTTTAGAAATCCAAATTCTTGGGCCTCATCCCAGACCTACTTAAACCGAAACTAAGATATCTGAATTTTAATTGCACAAACACTCAACTTAAGGGCCACATCCAGTGTGCCACCTGCTTTTGGGGCCACATCCAGTGTGCCACTTGCTTTCGCAAATACAGTTTAAGGGAGCCCAGGCAGGGCACGTTGGCTGTCCTCTGTAATCTCAGCACTTTGGGAGATTGAGGCCGGGAGTTTGAGATCAGCATGGGCAACCCAGCAAGACAATTAAGATTTGATGCTGGCTGGGCACAGTGGCTCACTGCTGGAATCACAGCACTTTGGGAGGCCGAGGTGGGTGGATCACGAGGTCAGGAGTTCAAGACCAGCCTGGCCAACATAGTGAAACCCCATCTCTACTAAAAACACAAAAATTAGCCAGGCATGATGGCAGGCGCCTGTAATCCCAGCTGTTTGGGAGCCTGAGGCAGGAGAATTGCTTGAGCCCGGAGGTGGAGGTTGTAGTGAACTGAGATTGTGCCATTGCACTCCAGTCTGGCAACAGAGCAAGATTCCATCTAAAAAAAAAAAAAGATTTGATGCTTACATTTTTCTCCCCAAGGGTGGGGAAAATAGTCCCTAACAGCATGAACTGAAGCATGCAGGGGCCACCCTCCAAGGGCTTTTGCAAAGTTTTATGTTAGGGTCTTGAGAAACCTTTGAGAATGTCAATTTCCGGGGAATGGCTTATTTTAAGGGATTCGGCCATGGCAAGGTCTTTGGGAAGGTTTGCTCTTAAGTCTTTGGGGATATCTGTCATCATGGTATCTTTGATAGGGTTTCCTGGAGGTGGTTACTGTAGGGTTTCTGGTTCTGACTCCTATTGCAGCGCCTCGGAGATGTTGAACCTGTCATCCTGTTTGGGTAAGTCTATTATAGAGGGTCTCCAGGAAGGGCAGCTTCCTGTCAATATCCTCTTTCCCTGCAGCATCCCTCTTCGACGAGTCCCACCTGAACGCAGGACCCTGAACCAACTGAGGGGGTGGAGAGAACCAGCAAAGCTCCCCAAGTCGGGGGCCCCATCCCCTGGGGACAAGCCCGCCTTGGTGCCTCTCTCCAACTACAGGGATGTGAGTCACAGCCCCCACGGCCCTCGCCCCTGTGCCCTCAAGCCAAACGCTTCATTCACTCTGCTCTTTTGCCATCAGGTCCAGTACTTTGGGGAAATTGGGCTGGGAACGCCTCCACAAAACCTCACCGTCGTCTTTGACACGGGCTCCTCCAACCTCTGGGTCCCGTCCAGGAGATGCCACTTCTTCAGTGTGCCCTGCTGTGAGCTTCTATGAGGGAGAATAAGGCTGAATGGGGGTGAAGGGAGAAGGCGGGGCTGGACATCAGCTTCTCAGAGGGTTTTCAGGAACTGTTTTTTATAATGCCCTCACAGGTCAGAAAGTCAAAGGGGCAGGAGGCATTGGGGAGATTTCCTCCCCCAGTGACACCTTTCTGACCTCTAACCTAGGGTTACACCACCGATTTGATCCCAAAGCCTCCAGCTCCTTCCAGCCCAATGGGACCAAGTTTGCCATTCAATATGGATCTGGGCGGGTAGATGGAATCCTGAGTGAAGACAAGCTGACTGTGAGTGACCTCTGAGTTTCAGAGTCTTGAGCCTGGGAGAACCCCATTGTCTAAGATCATCTGGCTTAGGGAGGTGCTTGAGGAGGAAGAGCTTCCCAAGCCAATGGATGGGGCTCTGCAAGTGGGGAATGAAGTGATGGGGCTTCACAAGGACAGGGAGGGGCTTCCTGGGTGAAGAGGTGGGGCTTCTCAGGCAGGGGGAGGAGATTCCTGGGTGAAGGGGTGGGGCTTCTCCGGCAGGGGGAGGAGATTCCTGGGTGAAGAGGTGGGGCTTCTCAGGTAGGGGAGGAGCTTCCTGGGTGAAGAGGTGGGCTTCTCAGGTGGGGTGAGGAGCTTCCTGGGTGAAGAGGTGGGCTTCTCAGGTGGGGGGAGGAGCTTCCTGGGTGAAGAGGTGGGGCTTCTCAAGAGGCAGTTTCCTAGGAAGTTGGGGCTTGCATCCAGATGTTCCCAGACCTAGGATTCATGCCTTGGTTTGGAAGATCAAAGACATGTATTATCCTCCCAAAAGTAACTGATCACATCTCAATCTACCCCTAGATTGGTGGAATCAAGGGTGCATCAGTGGTTTTCGGGGAGGCTCTCTGGGAGCCCAGCCTGGTCTTCACTTTTGCCCATTTTGATGGGATATTGGGCCTTGGTTTTCCCATTCTGGCTGTGGAAGGAGTTCGGCCCCCGCTGGATGTACTGGTGGAGCAGGGGCTACTGGATAAGCCTGTCTTCTCCTTTTACTTCAACAGGTACTGGGGAGGGTGCACCTATCTATGAGGCCTATCCCCAAGAAGGAAGTGAGGCTTCCTTCAGGAAGTGTCTTACTCCATACAGGAAGTCCCACGCTCCACTCAGGAACTCACTGATCCAATGCAGGAAGTCTCACTCTCAGAGTCACCCACTTACACTCTCCATTAAGGAAGTCAGCCATCTAATACAGGAAGTTGCATCCTCCATGCAGGAAGTCACCTACCCTGTAAAGCAACACCTCAACTCTATCAGAAGTCCCAGAGCTTAAATGACAACTTAAGACATAATAGGTCAGGCGCGGTGGCTCATGCCTGTAATGCCAGCACTTTGGGAAGTCAATGCAGGGGTGGATCATGAGGTCAGGAGTTTAAGACCAGCCAGGCCAACATGGTGAAACCCTGTCCCTACTAAAAATACAAAAATTAGCCGGGCATGGTGGCAAACACCTGTAGTCCAAGCTGCTCAGGAGGCTGAGGCAGGAGAATCACACGAACCCAGGAGGTAAAGATTGCAGTGAGCTGAGATCACACCACTGCATTCCTGCCTGAGTGTCAGAGTGAGACTTCATCTCAAAACAAAACAAAAACCAAAACACTAAAGAAAGTCACCATCAGTTCAAAATGTTCCATGTTTCAGAATCAAACCAGAAAATTCCATGCCCCTTACAAAGAAAGCTTTTAACCCATTTGAGAACACGGACCAGAAGTCAGGAATTGCCCGATTTAATCAGGAAGCCCTACTCACCTGCTAGGAAGTTCAATGTTATGCTCAGAAGTCCCACCCAACATCCAAGAAGTTTCCAAGAAGTCTCCACTTTCCCTCCCAGAGGCCCACCACACGCAGGCAGGAAATCCTGTGCCCAGTCACCCTGACATCCATCCCCCTCGAGCAGTTCTACCTACCGCTTAGTAGATCCTGCTCTCCTCCGCCTTCCAGGAAGTCTTCATCCCCATTCCCATCGCTCTCAACCAACTCAGGAAGTCTAACACCTCTCTAGATACCGCAACAGGCAATTCAGAAATTCTCTCCTACCCAGGAAGCCGCCCCACCCCTGCACAAGTTACACCTTCGAGAGCCAGTTCCGAAACTCCACTGCTCTAATTGGTTACTATGATATTCAGCTCAGAAAATTGCCCCAAAACTCTACCTTCCACAGCCAAATGAAGAACTCTCTTCACTTCAGGAAGTCCCCAACAGCCTAAGATTCTAACTTCCATCAAGAAAAGCACCATGCTTCCAGTCTCAACAACTAGGTCCTTCCTGCATCCCACTAACCTGCTAGAACCCCAGAAACAACCCAATTGGTGGGAGTGCCATCCCTGGCCATACCTAGGGCTGGCAGGGGGAGGGCCAGTGACGCTGACCTCTACACTCTCCACACTCTACCCCTGCAGGGACCCCGAAAAGCCTGATGGAGGAGAGCTGGTCCTGGGGGGCTCAGACCCGGCACACTACATCCCACCCCTTACCTTCATGCCAGTCACAGTCCCTGCCTACTGGCAGATCCACATGGAGCGGTGAGGGACTTGGTCTGTCTCCTGGGTCTGGAGCTGGAGGCTGGGGGCCTGGACTCCTAGGAGCCTGCCTCTAATGACTGCCTCCTTCCCCCTCAGTGTGAAGGTGGGCTCAGGGCTGACTCTCTGTGCCCGGGGCTGTGCTGCCATCCTGGATACAGGAACATCCCTTATCACAGGACCCACTGAGGAGATCCAGGCCCTGAATGCAGCCATTAGGGGATTTCCCCTGCTGGCTGGGGAGGTGAGGTCCCAATCTCTGGTGGGTATGGGCTGGGGAGGCTGATGGCAGTCTGATACTGAACATGAAAAGACCTGAGAGTGGGAAGCAGGTATTTAAGGGGCATTCCAGGGCAGCGGGCACTGGACTTCATGATAGATAGTCTGGAGGGTGGTGGGAGGAATTGAGGACACTTTCCAAGCATCTCTGCTGTGACTTTGTGGACAACGGTGAAGTGGAGGAAGAGGATAATGCAGGTTTGCTTGGGACTGGAGAAGCCTAGGCAGCAAGGCCTCTGCACACAGGGCGTTGAACACCCAGGTCCTCAATACGGAAATTACCCTACAGCACTGGGAGCCACGGAAGGGACTGAGCAGAGCAGGACTCTCTCATCTTCACTAGTTCCTCTTCTCCCCCAGTACATCATCCTGTGCTCGGAAATCCCAAAGCTCCCCGCAGTCTCCTTCCTTCTTGGGGGGGTCTGGTTTAACCTCACGGCTCAGGATTACGTCATCCAGGTAGGTGACCGTCACCGTGACGCCAGAGGGACGTAATATGATGGTTTGAGAGGATAGAGCTGAGAGACGTCACCAGGACGGGACGGGGCCGCAGAAACAAATCTTGTCCCTGTGATGGCAGTTTCTTGACGAATACAAAAAGCCCGAGGGTGGGGGAGGGGGCGGGGAGAGCACGGGGTCCCAGGGAAATGGCCGTCCCTGTGGTCGCGACACCCATGTGCCGTCCTGTCGCCTTGCAGACTACTCGAAATGGCGTCAGCCTCTGCTTGTCGGGGTTCCAGGCCTTGGACGTCCCTCCGCCTGCAGGGCCTTTCTGGATCCTCGGCGACGTCTTCTTGGGGACCTATGTAGCCGTCTTCGACCGCGGGGACCGGAAGAGCAGCGCCAGAGTGGGCCTGGCGCGTGCTCACACTAGCGGAGCGGACCTGGGATGAGGCGAGACCGCGCAGGCGCAGTTCCCTGGGTGACGCCCAAGTGAAGCGCATGCGCAGCGGGTGGGTGGAGGTACCGATACCCAGTAAAAATCAACGATTTCCATCGAGCGAACCTGCCTGGGTTGTTTCTTTTCAAAGCGGGCTTTTAAAGAGAGAAATTTGTGGCCGGGCGCAGTGGCTCACGCCTGTAATCCCAGCACTTTGGGAGGCCGAGGCTGGTGGATCATCTTTGGTCAGGAGTTCGAGATCAACCTGGCCAAAATGGTGAAACCCCCGTCTCTACTAAAAAAAATTAGCTGGGTGCGGTGGCGCGCACCTGTTATCCCAGCTATCCCGGAGGCTGAGGCAGAAGAATCGCTTGAATCCGGGAGGCGGAGGTTGCAGCGAACCGAGACTGCGCCATCGCACTCCAGCCGTGCAACAAGAACAAAACTCCGTCTCAAAAATAAATAAAAAGAAAACTTTGTGCCTGTACACACGGAGTTGAGGAAGAGAGGGAGGCGAAGAGTATTACTCTTTTTCTCCAGGGTGCACCCTGGTGAGGGGTTTTGTACTACGAGTCCCATGAAGCACCTCGCCTAGTCTGCCTTTCGTCAAAGGCTCCCGATACCGCGGAGCATCACGGTCGTTGTAGTCCACGCCGTGGTCACGCCCTGACGGGGGCGGGCGCAGCCACAACATGCGTGGGAGGCGACGGGTCGCGACAGCAGCGACAGGTGGCAGTGGGGGAGGTGGTTAATTGGTAAGGGTTTAGCAGTTCCTGTTAAGGGGCGGGGATACCATTCCCTCGGACCTCATCTTGTGTTTCTTCTCTCTCTGTCCGTATTCCGAGACCCCTGGGGAGCTCGGAGACCCCGAGTTGGGGAAGCGGTGCTGCCTGTCCCGCGGCGTTGACGTCATTCCCCCTCCTCAGCCTCTTGCTGCCTAGAGCTAAAGGATTCGAAAAAATGATCGGTGGAAAACTCTGGCAATCCTTTAATCGCATCCTGAGGCTTCTGGAAGAATTGTGTTGGGCGATTCCGGGGACCCCGAAAAGAGTCAGGCCTGAGCCCCATCTCGAGAGTGTGCTGCTCTGATAGTGGAGGCCGACCTGGTCACAACGCCCTGATCGACAAGATAGGGGGAGATCCAGGTCCCACTGGCAGGGCCGTGTTAGGCAGGAGATCTCCCAGTAAGCTTGGGCAGGGGAGTCAGGGAGGTAGCCTCTGTTCTGCTCCTTTTCCCGTGGGGTGCAGACAGCGGGCAAGTCGGAATTCCAGGCTGTGGGAACTGCTAGGGCGGAAGCAGGGAAGTTGGAAAGCGCATGGTGTTCCAGGAGTCCAGCTCTAAAAATAGGGGTGGCGGCTGAGGAATATTGGCTGGGAAAACAGGCCCACAGCACCACCGTGTGACCAACTGGGAATTCGCAGGCGCGGCCTCTCAGAAACTACTTACCAGCGCTTGGGTGAAGCTGGATGGGGTGCTGCGGACGGAAAGCGTGGGGGGCGAGTTGAAGGCACCCAGGCCGAGTGCTCTGACTAGAAAACAAAGGTGGGGGGTGGTGACACTTATCATAGAGACACTGTCCGCTGTTTCAGAAAAATTCCGCAGAGCAAGGAGTTCATAAAGTGGATCTTTACTATTTATTATTATTTTATTGTTATTATTATTGAGACAAGGGCTCACTGGGTTCAAGCGATTCTCCTGCCTCAGCCTCCCAAGTAGCTGGGATTACAGGTGTGCGCCACCACGCCTGGTTAATTTTTGTATTTTTAGTAGGGATGGGGTTTCTCCATGTTGGTCAGGCTGGTCTCGGCTGGCAGAGATGGGGTTTTACTGTGCGGCCTGATTCACCATGTGCCAGGCTCTGTCCTGGGTGCTGGGGACACAGTGGAAAATTAAACAGATGAAGATCTTTGCCCTCATAGGAAATAGACTCAAATGGGGAAACAGGCATTAAGACAGGAAGTAAATTATCAACATTGTGGGCTGAAGAGTGGCCCCCAAAAGATATTCACACCCCAGTCCCTGGGACTGTGAATACTACCTTATATGAGAAAAGGGATTTACCTGGTGTGATCAAGTGAAGGAGTTTGAGAACAGAGATTATTCTGGATCATCCAGATGGACCCTAAGTGTCATCACAAGGGTCCTCATAAGAGGGAGGCCAAGGGAGATTGATTCAGAAGTTCGTATGAAGACAGAAGCAGCAAGACACCAGGACGCTGGCTTTGAAGAGGTAAGGGGCCCCTATGGACTTCCTCTAGAAGCTGGGGAGGGCAAGGACATAGATTCTCCTCTGGAACCTCCTGACGGGACACAGCACTGCAAACATGGCAGTTTCAGCACTGAAATCTTTCTGGACTTCTGACTTCCATAATTGTAGGACAGTGATTGACTGACTTTGTTGCCCAGTCTGGAGTGCAGTGGCACAATCATGCCTCAATACAACCTCAAACTCCCAGGCTCAAGCAATCCTCCTGCCTCAGCTTCCCAAGTACCTGGGACCACAGGCATGCACCGCTACACCCAGATAATTAAAAATTTTTGTGTGTGGGAGAGGGGGTGGGTGTGGTGGCTCATGCTGTAATCCCTGCCCTTTGGGAGGTCGAGGCGGGTGGATCACAAGGTCAGGAGTTTGAGACCAGCCTGGCCAATGTTGTGAAACCCTGTGTCCATTAAAAATACAAAAATGAGCTGGGCATGATGGCACTTGCCTGTAGTCCTAGCTACTCAGGAGGCTGAGGCAGGAGAATTGCTTGAACCCGGGAGTCGGAGGTTGCAGTGAACAAGATCACACCACTGCACTCCAGCCTGGGCGACAAAGTGAGACTCTGTCTCAAAATATTTTTTTTTTCTGGAGACAGTCTTTCTTTGTTGCCCAGGCTGGTCTCCAACTCCTGGGCTGAAGCAATCCACCTGCCTCAGCCTCCTGAAATGCTGGGATTACAGGCGTGAAGCACCACCTGGCCTTTTCTTTATAAATTACCGAGCCTCAGGTATTCCTTCATCACAATGCAAAATGGACTAATACGGATGACATGGAACCGACGCACAGAAAGTATCTGTAAGGACTGTGATGGTTAATACCGAGTGTCAATTTGATTGGATTGAAGGATACAAAGTATTCATCCTGGGTCTGCCCTGAGGGTGTTGCCCAAAGAGTTTAACATTTGAGGAGGGGAACATAGAAAACCGGGGCCTTTCAGGGGTGAGGGGCAAGTAGGGGGAGAGCATTAGGACAAATACCTAATGCATGTGGGGGTTAAAACCTAAGGACAGGATGATGGGTGCAGCAAACCACGGTACACGTTTACGTAACAAACCTGCGCATTCTGCACATGTATCCCAGAACTTAAAGGAAAATAAAATAAACAAAAAATTTGAGTCCGTGGGCTGGAAAAGGGAGACGCACCCTTGATCTGGGTGGGCCCCACCTAATCAGCTGCCATAATGGCCAGAATATAGGCAGGCAGAAAAATGTGAAAAGAGAGACTGGCTTAGCCTCCCAGCTCACGTCTTTCTCCCGTGCCGGATGCTTCCTGCCCTCGAACATCAGACTCCAAGTTCTTTACTTCTGGAACTCGGACTGGCTCTCCTTGCTCCTCCCTGTGCAGATGACCTGTGTGGGACCTCTGTGATCGTGTGAGTTAATACTTAATAAACACTCTTTATATATATATATACCTTTTCCATTAGTCTGTCCCTCTAGAGAACCCTAATACAAGGGCGTTACTGAATATTACATTGAAAAGGGGAAGCAATCTATGTAGAGAATCTGTTCTGGAAGTAGTGTTACATTTGCATTCTGAAATACTATGTCGCTGTTTAAAAGCATGGGTGTGTGAAGTACATGCACTGAGGAATACTGTTGTCTGCAACTTATTTTGAAATCAAGAACATGAGATGGGCTGAGGAATGAATAGAACAAGGATGCTCAACCTTGACACTATTGACATTTGGGAACCAGATTACTACTTTATTTTTGGCTCGGTCACTCAGGCTGAAGTGCAGTGGCACAATCACTGCTAACTGCATCCACAACCTTCTGGGTTCAAGCAGCCCTCCCAGCTCAGCCTACAGAGTAGCTGAGACCACAGGTGCATGCCACCATGCCTGGCGAAGTTTTGCTTTTGTTTTGTTTTGTATTTTTGAGATAACGTTTCTTGGCATGTTGCTCAGACTGGAGTGCAGTGCATGATCTCAGCATACTGCAACCTCTGCCTCCCAGATTCAAGTGTTTCTCCTGCCTCAGCCTCCTCCCAGCAGCTGGGATGACAGGCGCGCACCAACACACTCAGTTAATTTTTGTATTTTTGTAGAGATGGAGTTTCACCATGTTGGCCAGGCTGGTCTTGAACTACCGACCTCAGGTGATCCACCCACCTTGACCTCCCAAAGTGCTGGGATTACAGGCATGAGCCACTGCACCTGGCCTCAAGCAACATCAAGAAAAACATTGAATGTAAATGGACTAAACTCTTGAATAAAAAGATGTAGAATGGATAAATGGATGAAAAAATCAAGACCCAATGTTCTGTTGCTTACAAGAAATATACTTCACCTATAAATAAAATAATAAGAGTCTGGGTCCTGAGACTCAGGCAGTCCCACTTCATATGGGCGGGCAGGCTTAGAATCAGTTCCTCTCTCCCTTCCCCAGGCCCTTCACAAACACCTGCTGTTCCACTTGGCCAAGGAAACACTTGTGGTTAATGAGTCTCAGAAAAGTGATGTGAAAGTGAGAAGTAAAAGTGACAGAGGCTGAAGGATGTGGGTGGGAGGCAGTCCCAGCAAAGGAGACCCCTCCAAAGTAGGGAGTGAGGAGCACCCGGGCCACAGCATACAACTCTGGCTGACACTACACAAACACTCTGCCCAAATCTTTAAAAACATCCTTGTCCCCCTGCATCGCCTGCTGAGGGATCTTGGGTCCCGATCACCTCCTAAACCTGGAGGTGGGGCACGAGCAGGGCAGAGTCACAGGGGAAAGGAAACTAGGATGCCTGGGTCCACACCCAGGTCTGCAGCTATGTCTCCACCACCGCTGCTGCTACCCCTGCTGCTGCTGCTGCCTCTGCTGAACGTGGAGCCTGCTGAGGCCACCCTGATACGGTATGGTGACCCC